CGAATCTCCACGGGGAGTTCGTTCCAGAGGGTCGGAACAGCCACAGAGAAGGCTCTCCTCCGGGTAGTCGCCAGTCGACACTTGGTTACTTACTTTGTGGATAAATATATATTTTGGGAAGAACAAAAGAACGCAAGCAAAGTGAATAATTTCTAGTAAATCCATTTGGAATTTGGAGTGGAAAATAAGCTTGTCTAAAATTAACTCCCTTTGAAAATTTGTAAGTAAAACAGTTTCTATACAGTTCATTGAAATATTTAAAAGAAGTGAATAATTGAGATTGAAATGTGTGTGTGTCCACATGCGTCTTATACACTAGAAATTTTGGACCTTATAATGAGTTAGACTCCTCTCTCTCAAGTGGCATATCACTGCTATTACTCCATGTAAGGTTGGTTGTTGCTAAAGTAACTCACTGATACTAGAATCTCTTACAGAGTGAATTAAATCCTAAAGAAAAGAATCAGGCTAATGACGTAATGGAGAAAACCAACAGAGATTCAGACCTGGAGAAGACAAACATTGTTGAACGTAGCCAAGTGCCAAAGCATTCAAAAAGTAATGGACACAAAACAAAACGTGGCAGCAGTGAAGACAGAGTTGTGAGGCGAAGACGGAATCCCAAAGCCCCAGAATTTCAGGGGAAAGAAAACGGCTCACGTGGATTGGAAGAATCCAGAGGCAGGATTATAGAAACCTTGAACCCTTCTGTAAGTTTAAAATGGATTCACTCTTGTGTATCTTAAAGCCAATTTGGCCTCCCATAACAACGAAATGGTAATGAGTAAATGTAGAATTGTTCCTGTGTGCCAAGAGTCCGTTCCTACAGGGATAGTCAGACATGCATGGGAAGGCCAATAATTTCTTTTTTTTCTTCTTTTTTTAGTAAGAGGAATAGTTAGATTGTAAGTTGTATAGTTTTAAATCTGTTACGAGAGTGAAAGCAGTGAATACTTCTTTCCCAGATTTACATAGCTGTTCTCCAGATGTCTTTAATGATTCACTAGGAGAAAGAAATTTGTTGACAAGTGCCATTTTTTAAAAAAAAAGTGTGTTGTTTACTCATAAAGAAAAAATAAATTCAATTTATTAATTAACTAGTCTAGGTAGAAATGCCACAGCAGTATTTTAACCGTACTTCATGGACTGATTTCAGGCTACAGTTGTGGAATTGGGTGGTGTACAAGTGAAACTCGAAAAATTAGAATATCGTGCAAAAGTTCATTTATTTCAGTAATGCAACTTAAAAGGTGAAACTCATTTATGAGATAAGACTCATTA